GTATGAGAAACCAGTCACTGTTTAACACATCCCAGACACACACCTCATCAATTTCTTGGGCTAATAAAACAGTTTTTGTCTACTTAATAGGCACCATTCAACTAAATATTGCTATCAGTTGTGGAATCAATCTTTTTTTTCATGTTCTTGCTATAAAGTTTATCTGACTTTCAGGAAATGTCTACACTTTTTGCCTGTGATAGGAGACCTTACATAGTTACAGCCTTTCAGCAGTTAGGTCAAAGGGAGTGTTCTGGTTATGATCATTTTCAGCGTCTAACCTTTCACTGCAAAACTGATGTTAAACTCTGCAGTGGCTCTCATGATTTTTCACAGAGAAGTACTCCTGCTGTCCTCTGCTGTGGCTGAAACGCTTAAAGCAACAACCCTAATTACACACTTCAGAAAAAAGAAAAGTATGTCAAAAGAATAAATGCCCATGAGAAAAGAGGGGAGGTAGACATTCTGTGTGGGCAGGGAAACTGCTGCATTTTCATTTTCCTGGTTCCTGTGAAGCTGGGACCCCTGATCTGGGGAGGAGGACATGATAGCAGAAGTGGAAGGCCATTCCACTTGTACAAGTAAAAGAGACTGCCCAGACTGCAAGCATCTCATGCATGAATGAGATTTCAGGGAAGCAATACTCATTTCCATCAGGTGAGGAGGATTTGGCTGCAACATTCATGGGACTCACTTTTCAGAAACACTCCACAGCATTTTACTGTGAAATCTACTTATTTTTTTTAATTCTGTTCTCGTGCTGTACAGCAACATGCAGATTCAGTCATTAGTACTGGAGACAGAATAAGCCTTGGATAATCCTTGATCACCCATCTGAGAATGCAAAGACTGTTTTTCTTCTTCTTCCTTTCCAGAGTCCACAAAGGGAACATTTGTTGAATTCATACAAGGAGAAGACAAAAAGTAAGTTGAGAGAGAACCAACTATGAAGACTATGATAACATGAAGAACAAATGAAAAAGATAAGAGAAACAGAAGAATATGAAAAAGAAAACAGAATGCTTATTCAGCAGAAATCTTAAGCAGAAAACCAAGATTTTTTTTCTATTGTGGCAGGCAAATTGGATAACAGGAAGGAGATTCATAGAAGTGCCTACAGGTTTCATGGATTAACGGTGTTTGGGGTGAGGCCTTCCAGAGTATTAGGGGCCTTGATCCTCTACCCAGTGCTGCAGCCTGGTTGGTTGGCATTGATCTAGAACCCAAAGTGTGAAAATATGAGGGAAGAAAGAGACCCGGTAACAGGCAACTGCTTGAGTGAACAACCAAATGAGAACACCTAGTTAGAGATATTGCAGTCAGTGACACGGATTTGTCAGGAAAGGTCACAGTCTACCACCAAATGAAGTTATCATGTCAGATAAAAAGTTGGTTGTGACAGAGAACAAAACAAATGAATTGGCAATCACAGAAATAGAGAAGAAGTCCATGCATTTACAAAATTACAGTATGATTTTGATGAGCATTATATAAAGCTGTTTCTTCATCAGAGTGTTGTGTAATGCAGTGAATGAAATATGAAAAATATGACAAGAGGGGAAAAATACGAGAAAAGGAAAGAGAGAAGGAAGGGAGGGAAGGAGGGAGATATATTTCCAACATAGAAATGTATCAAGATAGTTGATATGCAATACTATAAGCAATGAATTTTTACTGTTAATAATGGCAACAGAAGTTTTAAAATCTCTTGTCCTTGGTGAATATGAAGGTAAGCAGGAAACTCTTCCTTTTACTTGAGTGTGAACAGTCATTATTGAGTCAAAATGCTTCTTCCACAAAGTACAGACAATTTACTCTGAGTTTCATAAGTTTAAAATGAGGCCAATAACTTGAGCTTTGTAACTCCAACTGCTGTATGCCGAAGTTGCTTATATTCTTGAACCAAATAATGGATTTAAAGTACAGGAATTTATTTTTAAAACAAGGAAAATTAAACTAGAAATTGGAAGTTATAAAATGTGTTGTGCTCTGGATTCCTATTAATTCTATCCATGTAGACATTTTCTAATGTGAAACATTGAAGCTCTGTTTCTCTTAAACAGCATTCTATTGATTTCAGCACAGTGTCTCAAGATAGTTGCATTACCAGTGGAGCATACTGTATCCTGAGGTAAACTCAAAATGAGACCCAAAGATTACATCTGAGAAGTAACCTGTATTTCTTTGAAAAAGAAGGAAGAAAAAGGGATGTAAAACAAAGACTTCCCCTCAATAATTATAAGTTAAACAAGGACTCAAAAATATGCTACCAAGCTACCAGTAATTCTAAACCTCCAGACACCACAAAAAAAAAAAAAAAAAGTGCTAAATATGAGAGAAGGATCTTTTAATTTCCAAATGTTGTATGTTGTGAAAAAATAGCACATGTACTATCACGAGTGAAAACCAGCACATTTTAATCACGAAAGAGTACTGAGGCACACAGAAGGCAATACAACTCTTCACTTCTGCCATGAACAACCTCAGTAACAGCTTCTGAGCACACAACAGTTCACAGGCTGGCCCAAATCTCCCATGCTTAAGAAATATACCTGTGGTTAGTTCATAGAGCTATCCCAGTGGATCAATTGTTCGAACCACTGGGAAAAATGCACTGTATCTACCTAAGCACACACTGATCTTAACGTCACCTTTACTAATTTAAGATTCTTGCACCGACTGTAATTGAATAGGTGTGTCGTGTGTGTTTTATAAAATGTAGCTGAATGACATTCAACTCCTTCCTGGTCGGCAACCACAACATAAAAAATAATACCTAGAGGTGTAATCAAAACATACTATGGAAGTCCATATATGTCTGTGTAACGAAGACCCCGTCAAAAAATACTTAGAATGATAGAACTGTTCTGGTTGAAGAGATCTTTAAGATCATCAAGGCCAGCTGTTAACCCAGCACTGCCAGGTCACCACTAAACTGTGTCCCTTAGCATATCTACACATTTTTTAAATTCCTCAAGGGATGGTGCCTCCACTACTTCCCTGAGCAGCCTGTTCCAGTACTTGACAACTCTTTTTGTGAGGAAAACTTTCCTAATATCTAGCCTAAACACCCCGTGGTGCAACTTGAGGCCATTGCCTGTTGTCATATTGCTTGTTACATGGGAGAATGGACTGACTCTCACCTCACTACAACTTTCTTTCAGGTAGTTGTGGAAAGCAATAAGGTTTTCTCCTTATTCTTTCTCCTTTTCTCCAGGCTCAACAACCCAAATTCATTCACTCAGTATTCATTAGACTTGTTTTCTAGACCCTTCACCTGCTGTCACACTTTCAGGTAGTTGTGGAAAGCAATAAGGTTTTCTCCTTATTCTTTCTCCTTTTCTCCAGGCTCAACAACCCAAATTCATTCACTCAGTATTCATTAGACTTGTTTTCTAGACCCTTCACCTGCTGTCACACTTCTTTGGACACGCTCCAGCACCTTAATGTTCTTCTTGGCATGAGGTGCCCAAAACTGAATCCGGTATTTGAGGTACAGCCTCAGCAGTGCTGTGTACAGGGGCATAATCACTTCCCTACTCCTGCTGGCCACACACTGTTTCTGATACAAGCCAGGATGCTCTTGGCCTTCTTGGGCAACCAGGCACACTGCTGGCTCATGTTCAGCTGGCTATTGACTAACATCCCCAGGTCCTTTTCCACCAGGCAACTTTCCAGCCAATCCTCCCCAAGCTTGTAGGGTTGCAGGGGGTTGTTTTGATCCGAATGCAGGACCTGGCATTTGGCCTTGTTGAACCTCATACCACTAGCCACAGTCCACCAATGCAGCCTGTCCAGATCTCTCTGTAGAGCCTCCCCACCTTCAAGCAGATCAACAGTTCTGCCCAGCTTGTTGTCATATGCAACCTTATTGAGGGTGTCTTCAAACCCCTCATACATAACATTGATCAAGATATTAAAGAGAATAGGCCCCAACACTGAGCCCTGGGGATATGTATATATCCACTGTCTCATTAGACAATCTGCAATTTTGGGAAACTTGTGCAGTCAGCTGAGGTCAAGATGTCTAGGTGATTGCCATCTTCAGATCATAAATGAGATTAGCTCAGTAACAGCCTGCTCTGTTTCATTTACTGCAGGACTGCTTCTGGCTCAGAACAGAAAATTAAAGAGAAAGAAAACAGAGAGGAAGGCTTCCAAAGGCACGTGGCTTTGGAAGTGGCCGCAAATACACTGGAAAGCCAACAACACATGAAGTCCACATAAATTTGAAGGAATCTGGTCACTGAAACATGAATCTAGACAACTTTTTTTTGAGATTCAGGTGTGTTTAGTACTTAACGGCGTTCAACACTTAACAGACATGGCATAAATGTCCTCCTCTCCATCACCCTGTAGCCCACATGTAGTTCAGGAGACTAAAGTCTGATACAGATTGGTTCAAAAGAGTAGTAATAGATAAGTAATAGTACAAAGGTAATATAAAACCAAATAATAAATTGGTTAAATGATCAATAGAACTCCATGCACTGTGAAATGAAGATTTAAAAAGTCCCCATATCTCACTTTTTACCAACAGAGAAACTGAGGCCCAAGGAGATGTAGCAGCTTGCTCAGTCCTGTAGCAAATCAATGGCAGACTTTCCTGTTTTGTACCTCATCTACTGCTATGTGGTTTGTGAGTTACAGGGAGCAATAATCCTCAAAGATAATGTAATTTCATAGACTTAGAAAACTTTGGTATGTCCAAATTAAAAGATAAAACATAATTTTCTTATGGTGCTTTTAAACGAGATATGCTACTGCAACTAACTATACAAAGCAGATCAAAAACTGAGAACACAAAAAACCCCAAGGACACATCATATAGAAAAAATAACCTTTGAATTTGTACATTTCTTATGAAAATGGAAACAGGTGATTAAAATGAAGATCATAAAATGATTCAAGTATGGAGGACAAAAGAGAATGAGAACATAAAAGAGATCTGAAGGGAGGAGTCATGAGGAAAGTCATTAGGGCAGGGCTTCTCTCCTTACTTGGCAAAAGCCACTGATGCACATGTCCAGGGATTCTGTGTAGCACCGGGTCCCATCCAGAACCTTTGGTGCCAGCTCCACAATCAAAGCTGCACCTCTGGCCTGGCATTTTAGTGAGCAGGGGTTGTCCGGGTCGTTAGAGACAGGAAGCCACTCGTAAAACTGTCCCTGGTACTTGACATCGTTGTGAGCAGAGCACTGCTGTGCACGAAAATCACCTGCTTCTGGTGGGCAGTCCTGCAGAAAAGAAAGAGGAAAAGGTCAGCAGGTCTATTCAGGACAGCCAGTCAAGGTATCAGGAAGCCAGCTGTGCTCCACAGCTGCCAGATGTAGAGTTTTTATGTTTATACAAAGAAGACTGATTGAAATAGCTACAGCTACACATAATTCAGCTGAATAGTTATACCTTTTTTTCTTCTTTCTGCTAGAGTATTGAAAGAACATCAGGAACGTGTAAATATGCTTGGGACATAAGAATGGACTGTACGTGTCTTAGCCACAGCCCTGAAGTACTCTTGCTGAATCTCTTTCTACTCATTCACATACGTGGAGAATTGTGTATGCATGGGCACTTTCTTCCAGCCAGCATTTCCTTTGTTTGAAGAGAAAGAAAACAGAACTATGTGATTTAATTGTTTGTTTATTTAAGCTCTCCTCACTATCTTTTTTTTTCCTCAGTGGCCTAAGTCACTTGGTAGGGCAATAAGAATCAGAAGAATTGATACATATTTGCATTTCTTTAACCTAAGATTTTGTAACTTGCATAGTTAGTGACTTAGTATTATTTTACTAAGAAGACTTTTAAAAAGCCTTTTTTAACCTTTCAGGAAGCTTGTGAGATCTATAAACCCTACTCTGAACTCAGTACACCTGAAAGAAGAAATCAAGACCACTCTTACTACTTAAAATTCTCTTGTGAGGCTTTGTTATTCACATCATCTTGTCATCATTTAGCACTGAAAATCACAAGTCAGGTTCTCAAGAAGGCAAGAAGAGCTTCGAAGTCATGAGACTTCATACAAAATAAAAATCCTTTCCTTTCCTTTCCTTTCCTTGCCTTGCCTTGCCTTGCCTTGCCTTGCCTTGCCTTGCCTTGCCTTGCCTTGCCTTGCCTTGCCTTGCCTTGCCTTGCCTTGCCTTGCCTTGCCTTGCCTTGCCTTGCCTTGCCTTGCCTTGCCTTGCCTTGCCTTGCCTTGCCTTGCCTTGCCTTGCCTTGCCTTGCCTTGCCTTGCCTTGCCTTGCCTTGCCTTGCCTTGCCTTGCCTTGCCTTGCCTTGCCTTGCCTTGCCTTGCCTTGCCTTGCCTTGCCTTGCCTTGCCTTGCCTTGCCTTGCCTTGCCTTGCCTTGCCTTGCCTTGCCTTGCCTTGCCTTGCCTTGCCTTGCCTTGCCTTGCCTTGCCTTGCCTTGCCTTGCCTTGCCTTGCCTTGCCTTGCCTTGCCTTGCCTTGCCTTGCCTTGCCTTGCCTTGCCTTGCCTTGCCTTGCCTTTCCTCGCCTTTCCTCGCCTTGCCTTGCCTTTCCTTTCCTCTCCTTGCCTTGCCTTTCCTTTCCTCTCCTTGCCTTGCCTTTCCTTTCCTCTCCTTGCCTTGCCTTGCCTTTTCTCCTTGCAGCTGAGACTTATTTGTTTTCTCTAGAACCAACCTGGGTTTCTCACAATTATGGGAATGTAGCAGTTAAATGTTTAGGAAAAACATTAAACATCATGAGAACTGTGACAAAAAAAGTAAATGTTGGCAATATGGCTGCCTTGGATTATGAAGGTTCTGTAGTCCTACATCTTACTGCTGTAAGGAAATCTGCTTCTCAATGATACCTGGTCAAATACCAGGTGAAATGAATACTTGTTATACTGTAGCTTTTTTTTTTTTTTTTTTTTTCCCCACAGAGAATCATAAATGTTGATTACAGATTTGATAAGGAAGGATTTTGATGTACACACAACCTTATAACTGGAAAATATCCTATAAGATGCATGCATTTTTTGTTTGTGCTCAAACTACTTAAACTTGTAGCAATTTAGTTGTAATTAATGACAACCTTATTCACAGATGTCTTATCCTCCCAGCTAGGAAAGTCTTGCTGCTATGAAGGCAAAACATCCCCTCAGAGGTTTAATCAGTTCTGTTTCTCAGGTATTTTTTTTACACTTTCACTCAGTAACACTTTTCTGTGGCTTTTAAATAGGGCAGTTTATTACAGCTTGCAATACAAATGGCATTGGGGGCTGCATGTCACTTTATAACATTAAAGAATCATTGTTTAGCATTAAGTTCTAAAATAAAGCCTTTGTTAAAAATTTAGTTTTCAAATCTTCTCTTGAAGAAAATTGGCAGAATATTGGCTATAAATTTGTTCCTTGGCTCAAACCCAAGATAACCAATCCAGCCTCACATTCACTGTATAGTGACAATGTGGTTATGCCCATTTTGACATTTAAATGACGTTGGATCACACCACTCTAAACTTTTATAGTGAACTATGCACATATATAAGTCATGGCCTTAAGCCACAGATCTCCAGCTATTTTGCTTTCTACTGTGGGAGCAAACTTTCAGTTAATTTGCTTTGTGTTTGAGTGTGATGTTGTCCAGAAGTAATGGGTCAAGCCACAGTCAAAAGTTCTGATGTCAAAGTACAAGTGAATAGTGTTCGTGTTACAAAAGATTAAATGGATTACGGTGTAAGAGAAAAGAAAGTATTTGGGCTAAATCTTGCTCTAGAAAAATATATATCAAAGAGCAGTAATCCAGAGCTTATTCATTCTTTTTGAAAGTGGGGGCTGAAAGTCCAAGCTTGTAACTGAAATTTTACTGCTGGAGGACTTAGACAGCAGACAGGTTTTCTTCTGTTCATGTGTTATGGAAGATTAGGGAAAAAAAATCATGTGTTGGATGTATTTAAGTTCGATTTTAAACCTCCAGAAAAACTTAGAGGCAATCGGCCTCTTTTTGGGATCTGGGCAAACTGTTGATACAGATGAAAGTTTGGAGAGGAGCACAGAGTGAAGACAGTAGGAAAATATGTGGGAAATTCATTATTACATTATACAGACAAAGAGTGGTCTTTATGTTCTGCTTTTAAACAGAGGATGAATAAGACAGTTACAGCTTGATCCAAGAAGTAGTTTACCTCTATTTTCAAATAGAGAAGAGACAAGCAAAGAGGAACACTGTGGGCTTATTTCCTGCCACAAAATCTTCTGGTGCATACCCTTCTCTGAATTTTTCGGTCCATAAACGAACACAGTCAGATCTGTTGGCTTGGCTTAAGCTTGTTGCAGAAATCCAAGCCAAGTCTCTTGTTTGGTTCAAGCTTGGCTCTACCTTCAACAGTTCCTGGCTTGCAATAGCTTTATTTTCAAAAAGACAGAAAGGCCCAATAAAGCACACAACATACAGAGTTCATAAGACTGCTTTGTACAGTATTCAATACTATGTTTGTTGTGTTGGATTTTATTTTTAAATCAAAGAAAGAAAAAAACATACAGACAACATAACAACCTTTTAGGACACGGCAGGTGACCAGGACTAATGGTAAATACTTTCAGTCTTTGATGTCATGATCAAAATAAAACAATGGATTTAAATAGTAGAGCTTGTGTTTAAAAAAGTTTTCATGTGAAGCTTGAAGCCATTCAAAGAATATGTTGAAGCAGTCAGAAATGTAGACATGCATACTTGGCGCACAGATATGAAAAAGGGTCACAGTCTGGCCCATCACTTTTCTCCTAGTGAAATCCTGATTCCTAAATCTACCTGAATATCTTGAAGATCCCTTTCCCTCAGTGGGGAACTTTTCTTGCAGTTAAGAAAGCACATGTACTTGCACCTACACACCTGCATAACCTGTGTAACATTTTTATATCAAAATGGACAATGTTAAGAAAAATAGTGGTCCAAATATTAGGCACAGATCACTCAGACTGAAAAGGCAGGAACTGTACAGAAATTGGCACTGCTTATTAACCTCTTGTCCATGTGGTTTTTTTTTTTTTTGCTTTTTAAACTTTTTATTGTTTGCATTATACATCAGTGGGGATCAGAGCCTGTTTGTGCTGAGCATTGTGCATTCATATAATGAAAGACAGATATAAGCTCACAGCCTATAAATGAGTATTCTAGTTGCTGAAATGACAGATAAGGCAAAGTCATTGTTTTATTGCATACTTGTTCAAGCAGTAAACTGCTATTTTCTTCCAAATACTTCGCACACCTTTAGATAAGAGTGTTTGCTGTTTTGAGGCAGCCTTCTTTTGATTAATTGCTGCAGTGCTGGCTCCTGGACAGGAGAAACTACAGACTCTGCCTCCACAAAACTTTTTCCCCTTTAAAAAAAACATCAGCCTGGTTTTGGTGTGTGCATGGGGTGGAAGGGGATCCTCTACAGCTCCCAGCTGGCACTGCTTCACCGTCCTGAAGGAAGCTACATTTTACTCCACCTAAGGGTCTGATCCTGGAAGCTGTCTAACAATATGCAGTTTGTCTACCTGCACAACAGATTGACAAACAAGGTTGTGCCCACGCTTTGAGACAGCTGGAAGTCATGGGCCAAGTCAGTGTAACAGTGAATCCACGGTAGTGTACCTTTGCATGGCTTTTGTAGTTCTGTGAGTTATTTTGCTAACCACATCCGCATGGCCTGCATTTGGCTTGGAGCATGTGGCAGCACTGGTATTTGGCTGCAAAAGCATTATAGTCCTGCTTCAGGTTACTCCAGCTTTGGAGTTACATTCAAATCTTACCGGTTTTATTTTCTTTTCGAAATTATCTGTGAGCCCCTGCAGAGATGAGGAATGGCTGTCATTGCACTCCTTGAATAATATGAAAGACCTGATAAATCCGAAAGTCTGATCGAAGTCCATTTAGCTTCAAGCTTTCTGTTCATTCCTATTCATTCTATTCTTTTCAGGGAAGAAAATTACAAGTGAATCGGAAAAAAAACCTGTTCCTCCTTTAATTCTGCAAGTCCTAGATGCCTGCTTCATGACCTTTAGCTTGTGAAGGATCATGAAATTTTCTTGCGATACTAAGCCTGTGCTGTATACCTATAGTCTCCATTCAACCTATCAGGTCAAGATTTCCTTGACTGCAATGAAAATACATATAATTTAAAAGGTGATCAGAAACCCCTTTGATGTATGAGAGCTATTTTAAAATAAACACAGGAGTTTCATCTTCACCTCTTAGGAACTTAATGCTGGCCATATTATTACAGCTTCTTATGCTTCCTCATATCCATTTTTTTTTAACTTGACCTCCTATTTGACCCTATTGTAATTCACAAGGTCCATGGAGTTTTGCCATGTTTGAATCCCATTCAAAACAATTTCTATTAATCAACAAACCAGTGGAAAAGATAAGATGAAACCCAGATGTCCCATGAATGTGATAAGTAGATCAGATTTCATGGGACAAAAGAAGGTCAGGCTTTTTAAAGTTTACTTAGTGGGTGAAATGTGGAAGATCATATCTAAGCTGCAATAGGTGGAAACAGTCAAGGAACCTTAAAACAGTTTACAATATATGTGCTTGTATATTTGTAGAGGCCAAGAATGATGTACTATACCTGGAGCTTTTCCTCTGTGCAAAAAATGACTAACAACTGGACTACTCTGTGCAGCATCTGACAGAACAGCTTATTGAACCAGTTCCATGAAGTATGCACGATGTTTCAGCTGCACCAGTTTCCCTACCAAGACAAAATGCCTGAGGTCCTGAAGCGGAGGCTTGCTCATGACTAAATAAGAACTTTAGGTGAAAGCACAGAGAATTAGGAGATCTCGGGATTTAATGGAAACTCCTCTCAGTCACAAAGCCTCTTCGAGTGCTCTGCTTGAACTAAGTTTCATGCAGCCAAATTTTTCACTAGTCTACTCCTGTGAACTTCTAAAAAGGTTAGGACTGTGCTCAGCTGATTAGATTGAGAGGGCCTCATGATATACCTTTCTCTGACAACCCCAAGACACTGTAATATCTGACAGAGTGGAACATAAGAGAAATAATATGAACTAAGTAAATGGAGGAGTATCAGCAGATGCTTAAACTCTGCATTAAATAAACCTGGAGCAGACATGAGAGCTAAAACAGTCATTGAAGTCTAAAACTAAACCTCTATGAATATTTGTCATTACATTTCTGGTCTGGTCTACAAAGATCCTTGATACATTTATATAGAATGGCAGCAATGTTTTTTATTCTATTCTATTTTTTTTAATCGTCAAAGATTCACAGCTCTTCTTGCTGAGAAGACAGCAAATTCACAAGTCAAATCTGCTACCTTTAGCAACATATTAAAAGCATTTGTTTACAAGTATGAAAAAATAATTTTTACAAAACACACTGAGGTTTTAAAGCATACACATTCAGAAATAATGTGATAGTTATTAAAATCCAGCCTTTTGAAGAACAGACTACTCACAAAAAAAACCTCTGAGTTTGGAAGAGTTTCCACTGAAAGAGTAAACTGATGTTAATTAAATTTGGTATTAGTAAGGAGATGTATGTAGTGCTTATGCTTTGGTTTTTTTTAATGTTTGTTTGGTTGGGGGTTTTTTTAGATGTTTTTAACTGCAAACTGGTAACTGGGAGGTTTGATTGAAAAAAGCTTCATTTGACATTTCTAGCCAACAGAGGGTAGAAAAATTAAATTGATAATGATTTTTGTAGTTCTGAAAAATTTCTACCTGGTGATGATGCTTCTCATACACACAAGCCTGTGCTTCTGAGAATTATGCCCTTATATGGAAGTTCAGATTTGACAACAGGTTGAGTTTTGGTGCATGGAAAGAAGATAGTTTAATTTTGTCAAAAGTAACATGGCCAATATTGGTGCTGGTGTGTACAAAATGCAGCACAAGCTGATAAGAAACAGAGATGGAAGTAGCTTGCTTGAGCACAAGTTAAAAAATGGGGGAAGTCATTACAGTTGATATTTCAGCCAGATTAAGAAAGGGAGGGATGTATAAATAAGAGTTGCAGGTGGTGTTTACAAGTTTTGTTGGTCTGATTAATGGGATCTACCATCTACAATTTTTATCTTAGGCTTAACGGAACTGCTCTAAACCTTGTCAAAAGAGCTAGTAACATTGTGCAGATAAGCAACATTGTACAGGTTCCAGCATTGTCTATTTTCATGTCAAACAGCAACATCTCAAAAGCAGCTGTATATGTAGAGTTCATTGTCATGCTGGCAGGCATGAGCAAGTAAATATGACAAGCAAAGTCTTTTGGGAATGAAGTCCCAGTATCATGGATCTTTTTTTTTTTTCTTTTTTCTGGTCTGATTCAGAAAGCAGTACAATAAATGGAAAAATATGAGAGGATTTAAAAATATTTTTGATCACAGAAATTGCATTGATAATTGAGCAGAATGAGGAGAGAAGGCATGCAGACAGTACACATTCCAACAAACATCCTTCAGATAGATATTCATATAAATGAGAGAAGAGAAAGCAAAAAAATAACATAGCAGCAGAAGTACTGAAAAAGATAAAGGGCAAATGAGATCGCATGACAGCCCAGTACAAAAGCTGGAGAAAATCTGGCAACTAAGAGCATACCTAGCGGAAGGAACAGAGAGCATACTAGCTTGAAAACTAACATACAAACAACCTAATAAAAAAAATTCCTACTTGCAGTTTGGAAGTATTTTTGTTTATTTTGCATAAAATTTGGTATAATGGCCAAGCCAGATACAAAAACATATTTTCATTGCATTCAGAGTAATTTTCTAAAGAAAAACAAATTAATCCCTCTCTCCCTCCCATGAATATATTCTAAAATGGCTGGAAACATACTTAGAGTCAATATGAATAGTAAGAAGAAAAAAAGCAGATGTAATTCAACCCTAAATCATCTTCAGATTCCCTCATTCCTTCTTTTACTATTTACACATGTGGTTTCATACCCGTAATCTTTCCAGTTTCTGATCAACACCAGGCAATGCAAGTGGTGAACATACTGGTCTGGATTTGTTCTTTTAGGGGCTGCTCAGAAGCTTTATAGACAGCAGTATCAATCTCTCTTGTTGTCTCTACTACGCAAATTGGTTCAGCCACCTTAGAATAATACAAGTCACTGAAGAAATAGATACACCACTCTCTCCCCTTGCCTCTCTTTTTCTTTATCTCATTCTTTTTTTCCCCCCTTGTAATCTAATTTTAGGATGAATTAAAACCAGCTGTAGCAAAATCTTGCAAATGATAGTCCCTATGAAAATGTGTTCATTGCCAGACTCCACGAAGTATTCTTCTCATTTTCCAATTCCACTTCTGAAATAGAGTTTACTTTTAGTATATGTGACTACCCATCCTTTCCTGTAAGAGGACAGTGATATAAACAGAAATATGTCTCTTCACAGAAAGATAGTTTGCAGAAAATAAAAAGACTGGTTATTTTATTAAAAATGACATAAATCTTCAAGTTATGCACCAGCTAATTGTATTGAAAGCTCCAATTTCAGGACTCACAGATTTCCACAAGAATCAGAAAGGAATTTTCCACAATGCATGATAGCTAGCTTTGTTTGCAGCAGTGGAAAGGGGGGAATTTGCTCTCATTTTCCTCTAAAGCAACGAACTGTCAGCTAGGAGATGAAAATGTAGGTCTCATTGAGCCTCAAGTTCTGTCCTCATGATTTGCAATGTCTTTGTGAAAGACACAATGTCTATTCTGAAAGAGACAATTCAGTGGCACAGCTACACAATTCGGTAGGAGAAAGGATTTCAGCACACACGCATGTCTAGTTTCCACTGATGCTGCACAAGGTTTTTCAAAGCAATACCTAGATCCAGAAACATGGGGCTGAGGACCACCACAGCTGTGGAAGGATCCTACCACAAGTTCTGATGCTGACCATGGTGGCAGTGCCTTTGTAATGACTGATGTGAATACTGCCACATGTTATCTCAGATTGGTAAAGGTAAGTGGAAGGGCATAACAGCTGAATCAAAGACTTCAGCATACTTTAATAACAAACTATTCTTACCCCTCAAATCAAATGTCCATGGAATGAAGGCAGCCAAGTACTTTACTTATGACATAAAACCATATTTAGAATGCTCAGTTAAATTACGATGCAGTCAGAAGCTTAAGAATAGCTTGATTTATTGATAGTTTTGCAAGTTTACCTAACAAATGAAACCTCATTTAATCATTTTATTAAGAAAAAGAGCAATGTAGCACAATCTATTCTTTACTCTTTCTGCAAAAAGGGGTTAAAATCATAAATGTAGTCCTTAGGCTTCATAATTCAGTGGCAAAAACATTGCTGATTTCAGGGTAGTAAAGGACATTTAAAGTTTCAGTTTGGATTATTTGGTATGAAGTAATTGAGTTCTGCAGCTGCATGCCTCACTGCTATGTTGGAAAGTCTGGGGCCAGTATTGCCAGACACAAGGTATGTAAAGGAACTGCCTGACAAAACTATGCAAGGCTTTATTCTGAAGGAAAAGTGTTCAAGTGCACATTTCTGAAACAGAACTTAAACTAAAAATAACATTTAAAAACTTTCCTTATCTTGAAACGTTAAGCTCAATTATTCCAAAATAAAGGTTGCAACACAGGTAAAACCCTAGTCCCTCATAGAGTGATTTGTCTCACTGCTCTTAAGATACACAGGAGCAGATCAGAAGGGGAAGGGGACTCTCACAGTGTACATGCATTCACAAACCAAAATGGATGGGTCTAACTATAGTCCAATTACCCTTTAGCAGTTTTGTTGTTGTTGTTGTTGTTTGTTTGTTTGTTTGTTTGTTTTGTTTGTGTGTCTGTGTGTGTCATAATCTACTGACCTATAGCATGCAACTGGCCCGGCACAAATGCATCTTCCTATTCTGTCCATATTCATGGTGTAGTCACCTCTTTCCAGAGATGGAAATTGGACTGTTAATCAGCCAGCAGACCTATTTATTGACTACTCTAGCTGTTGTCAATGAAGCAGGTGTCTAGACTGATGAGAGATTTTAGAAATTCAAAGGATACACCCAGAAAAAAATATCAGAGGAAGAAGTAAGAGAAATCTCACTGCATGGGAGACTACAACTTAGATAGAAGCAGTTTCATTATGAACCGTGGTCTATTGAAGAAAATATAAACTAAATATGAGGGAATGTATTAATTTTTTTTTTTAACTTAAACTTTTAAACTTTTTTAGACAAAGCACCTATTGAAAAGCTTCTGAGCATGTCCCTATCAGGAATGAGAAAGCTTGGCCCAGTGCACATT